GCTTGAAGCTTAAGAGCTGCCAGCTGATAGGCAGTGAGTCTGGATATGCTCTGAAAAATAAGTGTCTTTGGATTAAGACTGCTGATTTCTGCTATGCATAAGATATGCAGTGTGATGCAGAGCCTACATGGCATTGATCAAGGGTAGATGGCTGAGGTTGTCTATCAGGGCTGCGCTTGCTGCCTTTTGGCTTCATAGCCGCTCCATCAAAATGCTGTCCTAGTTTTAGCAATCAGCTTTAGCTGTAATTACAAGTCTAACCAGATAGAGGTCTTAATTTGATGATAATTAGAGTAACATTGTTAGTATTGGTTTATTGCATCTAGCAGGGAGGCTGGGAGTAGGAGTCTTGAGTTCTGCATTGATGCAACTGAGCAACTGTGCAGAAGTTACTGAAATTTTCAGCTTCATTCCCAGCTAACGGTCAGAAAGGTCTTCAGATAACTTTATTAGGGTTACTGGAATTTTCTGCCTTTCTACCTTTGAGACTTTTACATAAAAAATACCTCAAGATTAGAACAGATTGCTGGGAATATACAACAATCCTATATAATAGGAAGCAGCAATGAAAGAAGCATGTGCTGTTTTCTTGAAAAACAAAACTTGTCCTTTCCTCCCCACCTTTCATGGGGTACCGTATGAATGAATGTGTTCAAAGCCAAGGGCTTCTAGGCCTTTCTTCCCCCTCTTCTTCTTTTGCATTGCAAATAAGCCCTGCTAAAAAAATCATAGCTTGATTGCTGAGGAGATGAGTGTCAAGACCAGGTTGTGAATTATTTAAACTGCTGTGAATTGTGGCAGAAATAGTGTATAGTGCTGGGTCTTGCCTGTGTCAACCTAATCCTGACTGCTGCTTTGGCTTATTGAGGTCCAAGCTATTTTGTTTTCCAAGACACCTGTAATGACGTAGCTTGGTTGAGGGCTGCACTCTGAAATTCAAACCATACCTGATAGGGCAGGCTTGTTGTTAATACCATCTCTAGAATAGTTTGGTTATGCTTTTTAATTCTGGCTTTGAAAACCGTTTAGCATTCTGCTGGACTTTTGATTAGTCAGCGTGCGTGTATATATTTGAAGAGCTAGTCTTAAAAATAGTCTTGTTTCAATGCTAATTGATTTCCTGGAGCGACACTTCTGAAGGCCACATGCTAGAAATGAAGTGCACCCTCTGCCTGAGGACAGCGACCCAGAATGACCTGGCACTCACCAGAGTGAGAATGTGCACACAACCAGTCTCCTTGCAGCAGTTGCCATGCAGCATGTTCACGCGTGGCTTACCTCAAGACAAATGACTTAACCTTCCTGTAGCTAGAGTAAAACTATTGCTTGCACTTAGCTTAGCATCATGCTGGCTTTTGGCCAGGCTTGCCTGTCTGTGTGGCGCAGGAGCTTAGATGCTGTAACCTTGCTCTGCAGACTGGGGCTAGTGCAGTTGGCAGGGCTGTAAGTTCTGTCCTAAGCTGTCTTTGGTTTCAGGTTGCCATAGATGTGTTCAACACGAGCATGGCAGTGGGACACAGCACAAGAGGTTGACTTCATGCTCTTTGTGCTGTTGTGTTTCTTTGATCCCTTGTTTAGATGGCCAAGTAGCTCTCATACTCCTTGGCTATGGGGTTTTAGGAGCTGCATGACTGTTGATGAAAGTTATGTGCTGCTGCTGACCCCGAATTCTTTATACCTGTGAACCCACCATTCCCCAGCGATTTTCATCTCATTTGTGTTGCTGAGAATCAGCTACCATGTGCCCACGTGCATATGGATGTTCCAGTTCTGGAAGATATGATGTCTTCCCATGGCAAGGACTGAGTGAGATTAAAGTGGAAAATTCCTGAAATTTCCCCTTTCAGATTTCCATAAATGAGAGCAGTGCATTTCAGCTCTAGGAAGAAATTAGTTCAGTGATATGTCTTACAAACCCTATGGATTTGGGTTTCTTTCTGACATAAATGCGTCTTAGATCTGGGAGCAGAGAAGAAGGGGCAAAGATTACAGAAAGGTGAAGAGCCAGAGATAAATCTTTGGGAGAAGTAGAGGAGGTGAATGGAAGCCTTATCTTTATGCAGAAAAGAAAAGCAGCATTTCTATACATAGAAAGTTACTGCCTCTGAAGTGGGTAGAGTTTGTTCTTTTTTAAAAGGATAATCTGAGAACATGTGTCTTTTGAAATCTTGATCTTGGGCCATATGCTATTAGAAATCTGTGTATCCACTATATAAAAATTACTAGGGTATGTATGTAATCTACATTTAAATTTGGGCACCTCATTCATATGAGAAAAAGCATAGGTAAGTTTTAAGCTTTCCTTACTGAAATACTTACCACAACTGGTTGTGAAAAATACTGAAGTCCCTTTATCTTAACCAGCTACCAAGAAAGCTGTATGGCTTTATGCTTTACTTGGAAGCTAATTCTGCCTTAGCAGTAGCTCCGCTTTTCTTGCTAAATCTAGTGTGGAAGTAGCGTACACTTTCATGGCTTTCTGACACTTTTTGGAAACTGAGTTGAATTAAAAAATATTTCTTGCAGAATTTTTTTCTGTGCTGATATTCCCCAGTTATCAGGGGAATGGGGAAGAGTGTTCTCAGCACTGGAGGGCTTGTCAACAGTCTTACCCAACTGCACCCCAGGCAAATCTGTAATTGCTGGGGCTTTGTATTGTGAAAACTGAATTGATGGCTGCAGGGACAGGGAACTTATGTTGTTTTCCTTCTGTTTTTTCTCCTTGTGTGCTGGATTTGCTGTCTGCTTGCTTTAATTTTCCTTTTCATTGCATTTCTGTGGTAGGGAAGAATAGCCCTCTTCGGATTCTGTAGAATGTTTTATACTTGAGTGACATCAGATCAGTGCATATGGTATTAGCACAAAGAACCATGACTAATGCCACATCATGTGGCTCATATTTCCTTCTTGCCCTTTACAAGTAGTTCAGTGTGGCGTGGTATCTGTTTTAATACACTGTATATTGCTGTATGCTTACTGTGGCAAAGAACCCTTTTAGAGATGTTTGTTCCCCTGTCTCTGATCAGCCCCAGCTCTGTTTTTCTGACTGCATGGATGGGCATCTTCGTTGTCAGTACTTGATGCTGGCAAAGGCTGCTTGCTTTCCTCCCTGTGTCAGAGCTTAGAGATAGTAACTCCTCGCAGTGGGCTGTACCATGTATGTAAATGGCTTTTTATCTGTTCTCTCTGTGTGACATCTCCCACGATAAACACCCCCATACAGACTGTGCTAGGATGGCTCTTGCAGTTTGATTAAATGCTGCATGTGTATGAATGTGAGTGGATTATACTGGATTTTTTTTCAGGGCCCTCAGCCTCACTTTGCACTTAAGGGGATGGTGGCTCTGAAATGTACACTTCTTAAAATTTATTTTCAGTTAAGGGGAATGACTAGAAATTCAGAGGTGGATAAAATAGACAGATCTAAGAAGAATATTTGTAGGCTATTTGTTCTAGCTGTAGCACTGGATATTTGTGGTTTGTTTTTTCTATAGAGGAAGTTAATGTCCTCTTTTGCACTTCATTCATTACATAGCAAGAGGGTTGGGAAATAGTAGCACTGAAATAATAGGAAAACAACCCATGATATAAAGGCAGAGACTTTATAGATGGACTAGAGACGAAATCTGTTATATCTGGATGCTGTCCAAGGTGTACGTCAGAAGAAAGGAGAGAACACAGAATGGGCTGCAGTTAAAAGCAGCAAAATGATTGTCATCCCTGTCCCACGCACACAGTCAGTTTGAAGTAAATCCAGTCCTCCTGTTCTACTCTGATCCAGATTTTCAGAGGTGAAAGGTACTAACGTGTTCCACCAAGATACAGGTTTTTGAGGGAACATGGCGCATGCATCTGACTTGGAAGAGGGCAGGAGCGGGGAGCCACATCCTGAGCTTGAACCAGTGAAGCATCTTCTCTTCCCAACCCACTGAACTAACTGCTTGTTTCTGGCTCAAATGTAAGACATGAGATAGGGAAACTCCTAGCAGAGTAACCAAGGGGACAAAACAAATGTTGAACATTAGAAGTAAACAAAGCTAAGACTGCCTAGGAACTTCAGGCTCCTCCAGCATGAGTGCCTGTACTGTAAACCTGGCTGCCCGTTGCTGCCTCACAGCAGTTTGTTGCCTGAAGTGAGCAATGCTGAGGTGCTGTGCCTCCTGGGACTGCAGGAGCCCAGGAAAGTCTGGCTCTGGGTATGGGTGGTGGCTCCTCATGTGGGACAGAATCCTTTGCAACGTCTTACAGCGGCCGAAACAGCTTCCTTGGAAAGGCTGTCTGGACAGCTGAACTCTCTTCTTTTGTCACCTCTGTGGATCTGTGCCAGGAGCACATACTCCTTGTTTGTCGGTGGTGTTGGATCATGAAACAAGAAAGAGTTTTAGTAGTACAAAACCCAGAGTTTTTTCCTTTCTTTGGAAAAGAGGGTGATCTTGTGGTTAAGAGTCTCTTGCCAAGAGCTTGCTGTTTGTCCATGAGCAGTTTGCTTGTGCTCAGATTTTCCAAGAGAGGCCTCAGATTTTCCAGCTTTGTTTCAGTATCATTTTCCAGTTGTTTTTTTGTTGTTTTCCCCCCTCCATCTCAAAACTACCCTTTATTGAAAGCTTCACTTGAAGTAGCAGATGCCTAGAAATTATCAGATTCAGTGCCAGGGTTTCACTGAATTGAAGCACTCAAAATCTATAGCTGTCTTTGGAAATACAGACCTTCGTTTCTCTGTTTGCTCATTCCCACCAGAGGTGACTGTATGTGCTCTCTTTATAAAATGTTTGAAAGGCACTGTAGGAGTGTGCAGTGGCACTGTGTGTTCTAGAAGCATGACAAAGATACCCTGCATGTGTAGGAATTGCATTTTCCTTGGGGGTGTTGTCCTGAAAGTCATCAGAATGAGAGGGAAACCCACACATGGAAAAACTTTCCTGTCAACTGGTAAATTAAGAATAATATGGCCATACTACTGTTGGTCGGCTTCAGTTAAAGAAGGTGTTGCCATTTTGCAGGTATGTCACTGGAGCGCTCGACCAACTCAATTGCCTCACGTGCTCGACTGTGTGAAAGGGAGGAGGAAGTCATGGCTTGTTTTGAGAGAGCGTGTGTCATTGCCCAAGTGTACTTGCAGGAGCTTGAGAAGGTAAGAAGAAATGTGCTCAGGGTGTTGCCTGGTGGCCTGGGTGGAATTTTCAGTGGTTTGACAGCAAAAATGAAAAAATGATGGGGAAATGTCATGTGGTAAACAGTGATCGTAGACAGTATGAGAACAAGCTGGAAGGAGTGAGATGTGTCAGTAAAATCAGTTGCAGAATAGCAGTTTAGCTGGTTTACCTGTGGTAAAACACCAAATGCTTCAGATATGGTCAGGTGGTATCTCAAATTTAGCTTGTACTAAGGAGGGACTACAAACTTGCATGGCAAGTGCTGGCATCAGTGTGTATCGTTTACCTGCTGTATAAACGATACACAGTAGTGGATATTAAGATCCCTAACAAGATGAAAAAAACCTTTTTGGGTCAGCCATAGCAGTTTAATTGCCAGTGCTTCACCTTATTCAAGTGAACCAGGAGGAATCTAGATCATTTAGAACCTACATCCCCCATCCCTGGAAGTGTTCAAGGCTAGGCTGGCTGGGGCTCTGATCAGCCTGGTTTAGTGAAAGGTGGGTTGGAGTGGCAGGGGGGTTGGAGTTAGGTGATCTTTAAGGTCCCTATCAACCCAAGCCATTCTGTGATTCTATGATTAGTAGCAAGTAACTGCTTAGTCAGTGGTTGGCTGGGATGCTGAGCAAGATGAGTACTGTGAGCCCTCCACGAAGACATGCAGGTAACATGAGCTACTCACTTGCCGGGTACATGCTTAGAGGTCTCTGACTCTGCAACTTTGCCAAGCTGATTTTACAGGACGTATCATGTACTTCCATGCTATTCCTTTGCCACATGTTATGCTTGACATCAGCTATATTGAGGGCAATGCATGTTATCTGTTCTCTAACTTAAAGGCCTTTGGCTTTCTGACCAGGCATTCTGCTCTTCCCATTAGCAAACATGTGTTTCTGTTTCAGGTTTTGTTTTTAACTGCATTGAAACAAGAAAAAATGAGTTTAATGCATGTATAAAAATTCATTAAAAAAGGCAGCTAACAAATTTTCTAGTCTTGTTTCTTTGCAGGAAAAAAATGAATGGCTTTTTTATTTCAGATTAAGTAGTGTCCTTCCATTGTTGGAAGGATGAGTTCCTGGCAGCACTGGATGCTAAATTTTTTTACTGACAGCTTGGGTCTGCAAAGAAGTGAAACAGTTTTAAATGTAATTCATTCACTTAGAATCATAGAATCAGTAAGGTTGGAAAAGGCCTTTGAGATTATCAAGCCGGCCATTAATTTAGCACTACCATGGTTCACCTCTAAACCATGTCCCCAGGTGTCATGACCATATGCCTTTTGAACACTTCCAGGGATGGAGATTCCACCAGTTCCCTGGAAGGCCTGTTCCAATGTCTAACCACTCTTTCAATGAAGAAATTTATCCTAATAACTAGTCTAAACCTCCCCTGGCACAACTCAAGGCCATTTCCTCTTATCCTGTCACTTGTTACTGGGAGGAGACCAATCTTGATGTCACTACAATCTCCTTTCATGTGATTGTCTTCTAGACATAGAGACAAGGATGCAGGAGTACTGATAGGTGTACTAAAAGTTCATAGTCCTAAAAGTTCATAGTCCTTCTCCAGTCCTAGATGTAAAACCCTGATTTGGAGAGTCCACATTCAGCAATGAAAGTTGCTTGTTACTAGTAAGGAAGCAAAACCAAGAAGGATTTGATAGGAGAAACAGGAAAGGATAAGATTCTTCCATCAGTCAGTACTCCTGATGGCTTACTAATTCTTTACAAATATTTGTGTTACATAAAACTGGATATACCTACTCAAACATTGCATTTAATATTTCTGGGCAAGATGCTGGATCTCTGTAGTTTGAGTAGTACTTCTGAAGCTGTGGATGTTAATGTGTGGTTTTCTACTTAATTTAATAAAGGAAAGTAATAAGTGATGGTGTTTCAAAACTCATATTGCATGAAGAATATTTCATGGAAGTCATTGTGTAGTTTATTTTAAAATTGACTTGAAAAGGTTTTTGAATATTTAATGAAGTTTTCAAGTAGTCTGAAAGGAATCTGATGGCAGAAGCTAATGTTTTATTGTTGTAGATGTCAATGGCTCATGAGGACCTGACTAGTTCAAACAGTTGTCTGTAATCCCAGATGTTTCTTTCCTCCCCTCACAGACCTTAAACAACACACATTCAAGGAGTGTGAAGGGCAGCAGCATGACTTACTCCGAGTTTGAACTTTCGTACTTTCTGGAAGCAGCTCTACAGAGTGCCTACGTGACTCATTTAAAGAAGGGGTAGGTGGATGCAGATGTTAATAAAAATAATATTGCACGTTTTGTCTCAGAACAGATGAAGGCTTAGTTTTTTCTTATATCTTCTGTTATGACTTTTTTGCTGCTGACTCACCTCAAGTTCCCTCAGTGTCCTTCCCTGTTCTCCTCCCTTAAGAGTCCTTAGCCTTTTTTTCCAGACCCGCAGGTAGGGTGGAGTAGAACAATTTTCTTGTCTTGCCTCAGCTCTGCTCCCTGTGGAGATGAGGGGAGTTAGACCGTAAAGACAGAATCGAATTTACACAGCTGTGTGCTCTTAAAATGTGCAGCCACAGGGCCTGATTTAGAGTTCAGTGAAGTCTTACAGGTAGTTTCTTCTGTTTATTTGTGTGTTTAAGTTCTTGAATGACCCAGTCAGTAACCCAAATCTGTGTGGTTTTACTATGAAGAACACATGCAGAAGCAGTGTTGCTCTGTGGTATTTATTATGCCTCTGAAATACAGCTCCCAGTGAACCTCAGAAGGGTGAGAGGAGTTGGTATGTGCAAACCTACAATGAATTTCACCTGTGGAAAACCTTCTCAAGATCAGCAGAAAAGAGTAAATTGCCACTTCCAAAGACCATCCAGAGGGCACGCTGTGCCCTAAATCAGGCCATGCATTCAAAACATAATCAGCTCTGGTTATCTGATGGAGACATTGTCATGTGGGAGAGTGTCTCTTCCACATGTGTAGTTGTGAGAGTCCATCCTTTCCTAGTCCTTTCCTTGCACTATAATATCCCATTTATTCTTAAGGAATCAGATACTGAATTTCTTACTGCAAACTATCTTTGCAAGTATTTAATTTTGGCTTTTTTTACCTGCTGAGTAAAATGGAGAAGAAAGCAAAAATGAGAAAAAATTGAAAGATTGAGAACTAGGAAAAACAAATCCCAGCAAAAATCAATTTAAATTTTTCTGTAGAAAATTGGTACCATTTTTTGATTCTGTTGGAGGAGGTTACTTCTTGTTTAAGGATTTTTTGCTATTTTTTTATCTCACAAGAATTACTTTAAATACAACTGTGAATAGCCACTGTTTCTCATTCTTTAATTAAAAGCCTGCACATACAGTGAAGCTGTACCCTTAAGCTATCCATGAGAGGTACCTTCAGGTAAGCCTTGTTTAACCTGAAGGCTTACAAAAGCCCAAAGCTCTATGTTGTGAAGTGACCCCTTTAGTCAGGCAAGTGCAAGTTTATGCATAAAGAAAGTATGGACTTAAAAAGCATAGTCTCAGTATCAGCTTGACAGCAAGGGATAGGTAGATAGATATGTGGTTTTCCCAGGTGAGCTGGGGGTTGGCCAGCTGTGGCACAGCATGTGCTTTCCTAACCTTTTGTTGTTCTCATGGCAAATAAAAAGCTCAGGTCTTGCCAGTAAGCTTATTAACTATGTAAAAAAATAAAATCTTATTCAGAACATACGGCACTGATGTCCTCTAGGCACCTTTTGAATATCAGACTCACTCATGTTCATTTTATCCAGCAACATTTTTAATTCAGTCTTCATCAGTGATGAGTTCAATATATCCGGTGGGAAGTTTTAGCTACTACTGTGGGCCGTGCTTGCTCTGTTCCCATGTTATTTTAATGATAGCCTTAAAAAAACCCAACAATTTCCCCCCATAAAACCCTGAACAGAAACAACCCACAAAAACCCTACAGGAAAACAATTTGAAGCAAAATACAGGTGTGAATTATGCAGGGATTTGATTATAAGTTTAATAGCTGCGATAGTAGCAAAAATGTTCTCTGTAGCTGTCTCCTGATGAAAGAGCATCCCAGTTGGTGCAGTGGAGCTTCTGTGGCTGAGGTGGGAATGGAATCCCACGTGCTCCTCACCTCCTGCGGTGCAAGGGAGAAGCATCAGCCAGGAATGGAAGGTTTGGTGGGATAAAAGGAGCCTAGTGGGATACGACAGCTTGTCTGTGCCACCGCAGCTGATACTAATGTGTGCTTTCTGCCACGAGAGGGCATAAGTAGCACTGCGATATATTAAGAAAAGAGAATGGAAGTAGGAAGAAGCTTTCAGATATTTCATGAGTGTAATAAATTTCTCCAGCCGATATTGAATAGCTCAGAGAAATGCTTTTGTTCTCCGTATTGCTCCCAGTGTGTTCTGGTAGGAAATAAGCCTTGGATAATGATTGCTGAAGCTGTCAGGGGGTGGGTCCTATCAGGTGGAATGTCCTTCCTCAGTTGGCACATGTGTACAAAAGGAATAGTGAGTGCTTTGTTCTTGTCTCAGCAGGTAGAAGAGTTGAGGGATATAAGTGGTGGTGTTATGTCTTCTCGGAGCATGGTCAGGGATGGCCTTTTCTCTTGCAGTGTGCTGTGGAAAGAAGCCACCAGGATGAAAGAAAGCTCTGGTCTGCCCTTCAGGTGTTGAGCTGCCCGCTGTAAGGACCAAAAAATTTTGCAGATGTACAAGTCCCAGACGCTTTTAATAAGATGTTAACTTAAAAACATTGTGTTGCTGAAGACACATTTCCTGCAGTTGTTTTCCCTGCTACAACCCAAAAAAACCTGTCTTTTATTCTTCCAGTGAGCAGTGTTGATACTGTGGATGTCATACTGTAAGAGGCAACCAGTTGTCTTCCATGTTAGCATCTGTACTAGGTTGTGGTTTTTGGTTGTTTGATTTTTTTGTGATGCAGATGTGTGAAGATTAGGCTAATTTCTTACTGCTTTTTCTGTCAGAGTATTGAACAGGTATTACCTCTTCTTGCTGTTAGGGGTCTTTGGTCAAGATGATTGTAATATTTTCAAGCAAGCTTCACCTGTGTGAAGTAATGGATATGTATACTGCTCTCGTATTTGCAGTTGAAGTATGCATGGAATTCCATAGGCAAGACAAAGAGCTTTCTAGAGGAAGTGCTTGGTTTTAGAAGCTTTAGATGGGACATTTTTGAAGAAAAAGAATTTATGAAAAATTATTATTAAGTATTTATCAGGGTTTCCATATGATCTCTCAAAATTGGACCTATATTACTTTGGAAAACCCAGTCAAAAATGCCTAATAGGGAAAGCTTGCATAGTTTTTTCTCCTTCCTTCTGTCAGTTTTGTAGAGTGCTTAGTTCCCTTTTGGAAATTTTGTAGGCTTCTGTTGCAAGGTCACTTTGAAAGAGTAACTTCATGTATGTGTAGTTTCACAGTAGTATCCAGTGTACAAAGGCAGGTGGGACAGTCTGCTGGACTGTTTATCTCTTCCGAGGAATTTACGTGGGCTTTCTTGACATTTATCTCCTCTTCAGTCATCTCAGTCTAGCACCTTTTCCAGGACACTGCAGCTGGTAATTTGGAAGTGAGTCTTACTCTCTGCTGGATGGATCTAGAGAAGTGCTAAGCTTTTGTTTTGTATGGAGTTGGGGGTTTTTTTTGAGCACCCCTCTCTGTTAGACAGGCTGCCATTAGGAAACTCTAATGGGCTTTGTTGTACTTACTTGTTATGTCTTGTATCTTATTCATAGGAATCTGAGGCTCACTTCTTCAGGTGTCTTTTGTGTCTATGCATGAACAGCTGTTTGAGAGGGTATGATTTTTTAGAAACCTGGGTGAGATGCAAAGATGTAAAAGGAGGTAGGCAGAGGCAATGGTGTTCCTGTTGTTTCTGTGCTTTGGGTACAGCTTTACCCTTGAGAGGTGACTGCAAACTGCCATGTAATCTTCTCAAGATGGTCTGTTCCATGTGTTAACAGCTAATTGTTTTAGCAGTAAATCAGTGGGGATAAGAACATGATCTTCTGGTGTCTGTGTTGTTGGGGGACTGTCTTTGCAGACCTCTGTGCCCTCTGGTTTATTGTCAATATTCTTCCCCAGAAATTTGCATAGAAAACAGTATTTCTTTATTTTCTTGTATCTTAAAATGTCATGTGTAGTGTTAGACAAATTATATGGCATAAACGCAGTATGACTGCTTTGATACATGGACGGGTAATTAAATACTCTGTATTAACAGGGTACATGTACAAACAAAACATATTTTCATGCCAAGCTGGACTGATTGGACTCTCAGGGTGCTCTTTGTCACAGCTTTTGCCCATGATTGTCTGTGTTGTTCTTTATTAGATTAGCTGTGACTGAATCCTAAACTGCATTTCATCATGGTTTTTCTAAATGGCGCTCTGACCACTTCTGCGGCTAAACCAAGGCAGTTTAATGATCATGTGCTTTTCCCTTCCCGTTCTTTCTCATTTCTTTTTCTGGTGTCTTAGCAGTACAATAGGGGCTTATGGACTCTTTCAGCTCATTTAATTTCCATCATCAGATGTTCGCTGATACCATGGCTTGAGGCAGCAGTACCTGAGATTTCCAGGTAGTTTTCTATCCAGTTTCTGCAGAAGCTCAAGATTTTTTAGTTTCTGAACTAGATAAGATCAGATGGATTTACCAGTGGTTGCCAGAGGTTTTATGTTTGAATCCTCATCTGTTCATCTATGTACATGTATTTCTGTTCAAATATATACTTTTTTGTTAACCTCTTTAGGTCCTAAGTAAAAAAATTCTCTTTAAGTGCACAACTAGTATATAAAGGACATACATTAATGGGACAGTAAGTTCCTTATTATAAGTAAAGCAGTTCATTTGCTCAAAATGAAATGTATGCTCAGATGGTCTCCTGGCTTGGAAAAGTAAATGTAAAGACAAGCTCCTGTAGTGAGGTATGTTCGCAGAATGCTGGCAGATGTGCTCTGTCTCCTGTCATGGCTCAATAATGTTCAGTAAAGCTCGAAATATAGAAGCTGCTAAACTAAATCCTCAGTCCTGTATCGTTGTCAGATGCTCTGTATGTTTCAGAACTGGGAACTCAGAGAGTGGAGTGGGTGCTCTCTAGTAGAACCTCTGACCACACGACTATCTGTGTAGGTGGTGGTGAGTGTTTGGTGCTCCTCCTGTGCTGCCCATTTTACTCTCCTAGCTTTTGTTGAAAGCGCTCCTAGGCGTTTGCCGTGTGCCAAATGTGAAATTAATTGGCTTTGCGAGTGGTCACTAATCTTCTTTCTCATGGTAGTTAATGCAATTCATAGGCACTTTATTAAGACAAATACCATTATGCTAACAAGAAATTTGAACATATGCATTTTTGAAAATGTTGTAGAACTGTTATACACCATAACTCTTCTGTTCAGCCTCTTAAGGAGCCCATGGATGCACAGGAAATACTGGTAGTTTTCAATAACCAAAGAGAGCAGTTGGGAAGGTGTATTTCTTTGAGATGGAGGGAATTTATTGATTTGTCTGTCTAATAGTAAATACCATATGAATAGTTCCATTGGATTTGGTGTCACTACTCATGCATAAATAACACCACATGCTTTATTGCTTTCCTCGGTTTAAAGTCCAGAACTGCATTTTTGTGGGTATATTGTATTCTAGACCCACTAAAAAGAACATGGTGTCTCGACCCTGTAATTGGAGAGCGTGCTGAAGCATTGAAATCCAACTTAAAAAAACTTCCTTAAGCTTTTTCCTCTTGATAAATTCGAAGTACATGTTTTACTTAGGAGAAAGTGAATGGAAAAAAAGAAAGACGACATCTAACTTTTCTCTGTGAGGGCTAGTCTCCAATGTTTTTGCTCTTGCCTTACTTTCTTGCTTGTCTGTACATTGCCCACAATTAGGTAACCTTCAGACTACCTCACAGTTTAAAACTGAGATGAGTATTGAAGTAAGGCCACGTGCATTTGGATTCTGTGACTTGATGACCACAAGCTTTAGGGTGGCATTTTTTGTGTGCAAGATTAATGATCATTTGGTATCCCCCTGCCCCCCAAAATAAGTACCTTTTATTTTCATCAAATGTTTGCCACTGATTCTGGAGTGCGAGAAGGTTTGCAGTGCATGAAAGCAGGCACAAATGCAGTCTGTACTGCTTACCTTCAAAATTTAATCGGTTTGACAGAAAAGGTTATTATGGCTTTTTAAAATGAAATTTAGCTTTCTTCTGCACAGAAAATTCTCCTGGATAAGCTGAAGTGGCAGTTAATGTACCGGTACAACTGCTTATTTTGTTTTCTTGTCCAACATTGCTCCTTTTCTGATAGCTTGTATTTCTTTGGGTAGCTTCCACCCTGCAGTGAATGTGCATTGAACCACTTTGCGGTTACCGTGGTGGTAGGGCCACGTCCTTATCCTTGAACAGCTTGTAGCCTGACAGTGTGTTAACTAACATGTACAGTGTTTAATCTTTCCTCCCTGCATCTTTCTGAGTGCACAGATACATGATTAAGATACCATTTGGCAACTAGTCAGCTTTAATTGCTCATGGTGTATGCAGAGTAATGTGTTCTGTGTTTTTTTTAATTTTTTTTTTCTTTTTTAGCCTAACCCTTTTATTGCAGGTTAAGTTGTGCTTGCAGACAGTTACTGCAACTTAGCTACCTGATAATAAGCTGTTTAAACCACTGTAATTTTGTCATGTGCCTGGACCATCAGACATAAGGCGTTTAAGCACCACCTAAAAGGAATCGTCATTTAAAAGCATCACGTAAGCTCAATATAATTCAAACGAGTACAATCTGTGTGTGTGAAGAGGAGATGTGGATGCTTTTAAGGAGCAGCATCTGCTTTATAAATATGAGCTATGAAAGGCTTCCAAATGTCCCCTCTGTTCATCAAATGTGAATGTGATCTTCTCTTAGGAAGCCATCTGGAGCAGGCATGCTACAGTCACTGCCTTGCTCTGTGCCATTGTCCTGTCTGTGCCTCAGAGTGACTTGTCTCGCTACTGCACACTCAGTGATTGTTTCATGGGTTGTTTGAACGTCGAGTTTATTGCCAAGCATTGGCACATCATAAAAACATTTTGTCTCCAATGTTTTGCTGGTTTGGGGGGTTTTTCATGCTTTGGGGTTTTTTTTCTGTCTTTCCCCATAGAAATATTGTGAAAGGAATGAGGAGTCTGCGAGAAATACTACGAACTGTGGAAACAAAAGCTACTCAGACCTTCAAAATGGTAAGGGGATGGGAGATGGGAAGGTGGGGCTGTCTGGTATGCAGGAATTCTCTCTACTGACCATTGCAGTTGCACAAAAATGTCTGCCCTCACTTGATTGATTGCTGCCTTTTTCTCTCTCTCTCTTTTTTTAATTTTCTTTTTTTACTTTTGGAAGTGATGTGTCAAGGGATCCCCAGAGAAATAGAGATGTATTTAGTTTGACAGTGATGTCCTCAGGTGATGTTGTCTTGTTTTCTTTCTCAATTTCAGTGTGTGCATGCACACCTTTCTGGATTTGCATGTGGAAGTATTAAGTACTTCTGGCTCCTGCAGCAAGTGGGGCTTTTTTTAGACTGAAGTCCTTCTGTAAAACCCTCTTCAATACCGTAGAGTGATTTTTAATTGTTTTTTTTGGTGTTGGCATTCTGCATGCATCCTTTTATTTTGAATGCCTTTGGTAAAGAAATCATGGAGAGAGTTATTTATGTGCCTGTTTAACTTCTTAAACCTATAACTGCTTCTTCCCTGTCTCCTGTTTAAGATATCTTGTCCTGAAGTTACTCAGGAAGTGACAAGGTCAACAGCATGGAGAATAACAGTCTTGAGAACGTGAATGAGAACTCTGCAACCCTAAAAGCATTGATGTGCTTACAACTAAACTTGTGCTTGTTTCAACATTGTGTTTTATGTAATTTCAAGAGAAGTTCAACAAGGGAGGGGGGCATGGGTTTGCACAGCGTTTTGGAGAATACAGATGCATGGGGAAGCCTTGTGCAGGGAATTAAAAGAGGTGACTTCAGTAATTGTCCACTCAGATGGTTGCATCCTTTTCCAAACTGAGATCAGGGCTCAGGGGTATTTTCATGCTTGCCTGTTTTGTCATTTTGCTGAAATTAGTCTAATCTATACCGTGACAGAATGTGTCTCAATTGCTCCTGTCCCTGTGCAAATGGGGAGAGCTGTACAATACCCCTGGGGGATTTTTCCTTAAGGGAAACTCTGAAGGTGTTCATTCAGTAGTTTTTCCTGGGATTTCTATTTTACTGCAAGTTACATTTTCATTTTCTTATTTCTTTATAAAGAGCTGTCAAGAGGGCAAAGGGAGGAATGTGCTTAATTAAACAAGTTTTTTCAAGCATGAAAGTAAAACACATGATTTATTTTTTTTTCTGATTTGTGGGATCACAGTGTTCTTCAAACATAATGATGCTTTTTTTAGCCAAAGGCAGTAATAACATAAATCAGAGTCTTGGCCTGTTCTGGTTTGTTTGGTCTTATTCAAAACAAGAGTGAAGCTAATTTACACAGCTACTGTATTGTACGTTAAAATCAAAGACACTAGAAGTATTTGGTGCTTGCCTTTTGAAAGGCTTTCCACGAACTGTACTCCTACCTCTGTGTGAACTAGTGGAGATCTTTCTATTGCTGGCATATTATTTTCTCTTTCCCCTAAGACTGTAGGAAAAAAATATAGGAGAGTTGACTCCTCAGGGTAAAACTGACTGAATAATTACACGTTGAAATGATAAAATGATACTGGCTAATGTTGCAGGGCCCTAGGCTATTTTGCTGATAGTTATTTGCTATAAAAAGCATGGAAGAGCTTAGTTAGAAACAGACGGCTTTCTGTAACTTGTCAGTAGAAGTGCATGGAAAGTCCTGGGGTTTCCAGGGAGTTGTATGTGACAATAGTTCTTTGAGACACCTTCGTATGTTCAGATCACTGCCTTTTGCTGGGTACCTGTATGAAACCTCCCTTTTTGCTGTTAAGAAACTGAGCACACCGCTGTGCTTGCATTTCAGATTAGTGCAGTGAATTCATATGTTGTGGGCGAAGTGAATGAAAATCAAGAACTTTGCATCAAAAGAAGTTATTTTTCTGAAACTACTAACAGAAGCTTTAATCTCTTTGATCCAACTGATGTAGATCTCTAACATACCTATGCTAGTATTTAAAAGAAAAGGACTTGGTGGCCTTGTAACACATCTCAAAGTGTAAACTGCATATAAAATACATATGTGGTAGTCAGAGAAGTTGCATAATAGCATTTACAAGTATTAGGACAGAAAGGCTGAAGCTTCAGCCTGCCTCTGTTTTGTGCAGTATTTACTTTACAGCTTACAGTGGGTATGCTGCTTAGAATTCTCATAAGATACCATGAATTTTGGTGTCTCTGAGCTTGTTTGTATGCTCATATATTTACAATGCAAAAAATCAGAGATTTGTTGGGTGGCAGACAAAGACAAATGCCAGAGGTAGTTAACTTGACTTTAAAAATTTGCCCCGTTTTGGGCCCAGTTTACCAGGTATGTGTATGAACTGGAAAGCAAGTATTTAGGCATGCTTGGCCACCTGTGGTCAAAAAAGCACGTGTGATGTCGCTGTCTCAGTATAAAATTCGTCCCTCCATTACTGCAACAGAAGGACAGAAGCAGGACTAAGATGAAACTATTAAAGACTACAGAAAGAGCAGTATTAACAGATAAAAGGTTGATTTTTAAACCTAACACAAAAGTAGTTGCTGGTCCGAGACTTGCATACAAAATTCGGAGCCTGAGAGTGCAGTGTAGTGTCATCATACCCTAATACAGTAACTTTTGTGAGATTGTCTCAGCAGTCCATGTGGCAGTTGGTTGTCTTTGTTCACCAAAGCATTCCTTGCTGTCAGGCTTTGTTGATACTTTTTTCCTACACCATTGCAACTAGACTATGTAAATACAGAAGTCTGGCCTTTTCAGAGGAGCGAAGAAACTGCCACTTCTGTAGACTTTAGCAGCTGATTTAGCTCCTCTGACCTTCTGAAAAGTGGTACTGTCAAGCTGGTACATCTCCTTCCCAAGGTGGAACGTGGGGAGGGGTGAGTCTTTTGTGTTGGAGAAGGCTTCACTGATATATGTCTTTTTCTGTACTGTTCACTGATCTCTAGACTGCAGCTAAACAGCTAGCCCAAGTACTTCTCCATTCCCTCAGTGAAGACTGTTACTGGAGCCCTTTATCTGATCCGCTTCCTGAGTTCATGAACAAGGAATATCAGTCTTATGTTAGCAATCTTCTTTGTCGGAGGCCTGAGCTGTACACAGAAGAGAAGTAAGCGCTCATTTTTATTTCAGTTTATTATCAGGAGGAAGGAGAGTGTTTGAACACTCATTGGTACTGCTAATTATGTCACTGATTTTTGTATCTTTTTGTTTTTTAACTTCCTGTCAAAAAGTCTGCTGGAAAAATAAAACTTGAACTTTGAGTGTTGGATTTTTTTTCTTTCCCAAGAAAAAAAAAATCCAACCAAATAGCTGTCTTTGCTATGAAATTAAAGTAATCCATTTATGGTTCAGTATAGCTCATCTAAGATATATTTTAATTGTGTGAACCTGCAAAAGAAGGTATTGCCTGGCAAATGAATTATGCATGAGATGTTTCAAGTTACCGCTTCTCCTGTGAAATGAGAAAGAGGCTGACAGGATAACTCTTGACCTTCCTCAGAAAAATGTGTTCTGTCTTTCAGTGTGTACTGCCCTCAAGACAACGTAGAAGAGGCTCTTCTTCTCCTCTTAATCAGTGAATCCATGGTAAGCCAAAAATGAGCTTGTGATATTAATAGCGGAAAGTAATATCTGGCATTTCCCTGTCAGGTCTTCTGGTCAGTTTTGTTTACAGTCTTCCCTGGATAAGCAGAAGCAAAGGTTTCAATGCTGAATGGAAAATGCTATCTATTCTTTTATTAGTGGTACCAATTTTATTAAATGGAACGTGAGAGAAGGGTTTTGGGAATTGTCCAGAAGAGGAAGTGACTGCATTCGTCATAGCTGCATGCAGGTTCTGACATCCAGATACACTGTCAGTAGACAGATGTTTCCATTCAAAACATCTGTGTGGATTTATGGATCAAGAATGAGAGGAAGGGGAGCCTTACCTAAAGCCAGGCATGACGGTGGTACTCACTGTCTGGCGTTGCAGGATACAGTACTGAGCTTACATGCCTTAGCCTGCAGTCCTTAGCTGCTTCAGTCCTGAGTGATCTTTGACAGTTTCTCATGCTGGTGATACAGGGAATTTTGTCACATGCAGAAACATTCATGATAAAGTATAGTGAAATAATAAGATTTCTTCAATTCAGAACATTGGTGGTTTTAAAAAATCCATTTAAAAAACAGGCAAAAAGTTGGAGGAAAAATAACTACTTGGAAAACTGTACGGTAACCTTTGATAATTTTCATGTACTGAGAAGACACAAACGTAGAAAATGTGTAAGGAACGTTTTCTGAAAATGTATGAGGAATTTGTATTTTGCTTTAAATACAGTGTGGTCACTTGTGAGTGACTACAAAGTGAGATTTCAAAACTTCGGAGCATCAGTGACCCTCTTAAAAGCTTTTAAACAGGTTTCAGACAAGTTGAAGAGATGCTGTGGAAACTTCTTGAGTTTTGCTTCCATCAGTTTTTCTTTGTCTGGTTCTTTTGGCTCAAGTACTTCCCTGTTCCTGCAATTTCTTCAGCACATGGCAATTTAATACTGTTTGCTTTTAAAATCTGGGGAGAAATTGAAGAGGCAGAACCACCCCAAAATATGAAGTTGACTTAAAAATCATGTACATCTGAGTATTACAATGCACTTTTTAGTGCCTTCTAGATTAATCTTCTACAGTATATCTGCTTTGTGTTTTCAAGGGCTTTTCTTCAGTTAGAAGGGCTTTTCATAATTGCAAGTGGAACAAGTTTGTTGTTCGTTTGAAATTTTGTTTTTTGGTTTTGTGTTTTGATTTTAACAAAAACAAGTGTAGTGAGGGCTTGTAGAATATCGTAGGCACTTCTGTTAAAATCAAAAGGACTTGTGTCAGTGTGGCTTGTCAGGGTTGATTCAAGCAGAAGGATGAGGATCTGGAGCATCAACAGTACTGGCTGCTCCAGCCTTTTCTGGGACTGCACTTGCAGTCAGAAAGGCCTTGTAGGACCTTGAACTCTACCATCTTCTTCTGCTGAGGAGAATGAAACTTATCCCTGTTTTATCCAATTTTAGTGTGTAAAATGGTCCTGTATCTAAGTTATGGATAAAGCAGTGAAAAAATGCTGTTGATAGAAACTGGACTGCTGTGCTGACTTGGAGGTTAAATAAGTAAGCTTGTGTATGCTTAAGTGCAGTCTCCAATTTATAGGAACCCTCTGGAGGTAGATGCAAGGCATTTTGATCTGCTGCATATGAAACACTTAATTGAAGATCCTGTAACAGAGCAGTGCAGGAACCATGTAACTGTCTTCCTGGTTTTGGGGAAATGGAACATCGGAGTCTTCCTCTTGTATTAGGGATAGCCTTGCCATGAGTTTATTGTTCTAAATAAAATTCAGGCCAGTGTATAGAAATACACTTAGGAACCACAGGAATGTGCTTCCTAAGTGAAGAACAGAAGGAGCAATCTGATTCTTATGTAAGTTTGCAATCCATAAATATTTTCCTGTAGTTTTACTATTACGGTATGAAGAAGGGAAAATTTTATTTAATTTATGACATAAGACATGTTTTCCATAACAGCATTGCTGTAGGCTAGTGAATTTTCTTATGTACAAGTTTGTTGTTCATTTGAAATTTTGTTTTTTAGTTTTGTGTTTTACTTGTTTTTTTAACAAAAACAACTTATTGGAGCTCATGGAATGAGTTAACAAAGAAGCAGATTTCCAGTTGAGGCCTCTCCCTAATAATATAATGTTAACAACTGAATAAAACATACTTTCCTTCCTGGAGAGAGTGTCAATGGCAAGTGATAATGATATGTTTCTGTAGGCCAGTAAGCAATATAGATGATGTTCGTGGATTTTGGCTGGATTAGGCGTTCTCTCAGTATTTACAATTATGAGCCCCTTAAAATGAAACAGAAGTATGGAATTAGGTTGGCTTACTGGGAGCTCTCCAGCCTCTCTGACACTGTTCTCTCAGAGCAAAACTCACCAGGAAGGTACTTTACCTGTCTGATTTTTAGAGACAAAGAGCAGCCATGCTGTAGTAACTCTTTCACAGGACCATAAAGCCAAATAGCTGCTCTTCATGCCTGTTTCTCATGCCTGACTTCTACCACTCCATAATGACTTTGAGGGGGGAAAAATTAAGGGAAGGATGGACAGAAGAATTGTCAACCTGTGGAGGGGACACAGAGCAAAGTTGTGCTGGGGAGGAGCATAAATCATCAGAGAACCTCAAAGCAAATATGTCATAAATTTAATGAAAAGGACACATGGTAGCTCTTTCAAGTAGTATATACCTTGGACACCTCTGCTGCTGAAATTCACTCTATTTTTCTGTTTGACTTGCCTTCCTAAGGTGAAGCTGACATCTACTTTACCAGGATCTGTGTGACTCTCCAGAAGTTGTTATGGGGGAGTAGAACTGTTCCTTTAACAGGGAAAGGGGGAAATTGCCTTAAGGCTATTGTGAGACAGACCCTATTTCTCAGCAAGCCTTCTCTGGCTCTTAGTAGTGCAGGGTTCTGGCTTGTGATTTCTTCTTATCCCTTTCCTTGGCATTGCAAGGGAGCCACTCTGCGTGTTCTAGTGGGATGAACATATTCTAAAGGGACAGTTAAGGGTTCCTTCAGTATTTCACTCACTCTGCCTCTGAGCCTAAGTATGTAAAAGATTTTCAGATGATGGAATACCATCGTAGGTTTTTTCATAGCTTTGAAGATGCCTCTGTGGGTATATTAACACTTAGAGTGAAAGCTTGTGGCCCGTTTTGTCCTCTGCTGAGGTGCCTCCTGTATTCTTTCTGTCCTGTTAAAAATGGGAGCCTTTTTTTAAACCGAGGTGTCTCAGTAAACAATGAAAACTATCCTGGTTGTTGAGCTTAGCAAATGTTCCTCCTCTGTGCCAGCTGTTATTTAGTCACAGTCTTTGGCTGCAGAGTTCTCATGAAGGAATCTAGTGAAACAAATCAGGCAGCCTGAAGATTGCCAAAGTTAGGGTGGTCTTTTAGGGGGGTTTGTGGCCTCCTTGCTACCATATAATTCCTTTTGCACGGCGTAAGTTATGGCATGGATGGGCTATGTTTGTGAGAGGAAAATGCTCTCCTTCAGACCGAGAAGGCCAGCTGGTGACAGCCTTTACAAGCTCAGGCTGCGGTAGAATGGTGCATTCCTATCACATATTACAAAAAAATGGACTGGCCTATTTTTAAACCATTAGTCCTCTTTCTTACTGCATTCACCCCAGCTAAACCAGTGATAACTGTGTTTGTCAGGAGAACTGAGGACATATCGTGACCTGCTGCAGTGTGGTTTCTCTGCATTACAGTACCAGTGGGAATGGTACTGGTTCCGACATCAGGGACTCTGGTGCTTTGAACTGCAGGGTGTAGACAGAGAAGGTTTGGCATGACTAACCCCTAGCTGCAGCTTTGTTTATTTTAATAGCTGTTCTCAAGGGTATTCAGAATTGACTGCACTGCCCTTAAACTTAACCAGAAGTTTCTCAGAGCCAGGAATGGAACACTTTCTCTTACTTTTGTGTTTACTTTTGAGGTTAAAAAAAAAAATCCAAAAAAACCTCACAAAAAACCCAAAAGAAGAAGTTCTTCGTTTACTCTTAGAAACCTTCCCCTCTCGAAGTGTACCATCTGAAATCCCTTTATTCAGTGCTGGCCCTTAAAAAAAGGGATTTGGGCTGATGCGATCCACCAAATGTACCAGGTAACATGGATTATTTTTTTTTGGCTCTGTATCCACTTCACTCATACTGGAAATGAAACTCTTTGTATCCAAAACTAATAAATTCTGTGCCTGTGTAACAAAGATTAGAAATGTCATCCCCATCTTATCTCTGATTTGAATCCCTAAAGGCGATTTGACCTTGGAGAGCCTGAGAGCATGGAACAGATGGTGAGGGGGAAGTAGGATACTAGGACTTGTCCTGTTCTTTTTACTGGTGAGAACAAACTCGTGGCTGTGAGCATGCCTTTAACAGAATAAGATTAAAATCATGTACTTTTAAGCACAGAAATAATTAAAACCTGTTAGCTCTACATTCCCTAGTCCTATAGTAGAATAATCTTGGCAAAGGAGAATAATCTCTTGTTGCTTTTATAGGTTGTGGGGTTTCTTTGTTTGTTTGTTTGTTTTTTATTTTTGAGTGGTGCCAAGCCCACTGATGATACAACAGCTAGATGACCATCATGAGTATTTTCTTGAGGGCTGTCAGACTATGGCAGCTGAAAGAGACAACTGGGAATGGGATTGCCCTCTCTGTTGTTTGCTGCCAGATCACAGTTGTGCGCTTGTAATAGCAAATCTGACTGTCTCTTTAACTGGTTTGCAAGGCAAAGCTAAGCGTTTGGGACCTGCAGAGATGGATTGCAGGATGTTTCTGGTGGGAAATACACTACCTCTGTTAATTGCCTCTTGAATAAATAGTTCTAATGGGAGTTACTTGAGACAGAGTAGAGAGCTTTTTTCTTCTGCTTTGCAGTAGGAAGTCTTGTTTCCAAACTTGCAAGGAGGATATAAATTCTTGGAAGATAGCTCTCTAAATCCAGATTACTATAAGACAGTATCCACAAACAAACTTCCTTACTTTCTGTCTCTCTCCCTTATCTGTAGGGTTGTTGGGTGGTTCTGGATGGGTGCGTATGTCTGTCTGTCTTGCATTCAGTGATGTTTCCAGAATTAGTTCTGTTACAGTACAAGGCATTAAAATACACCTTGAATGTAAAAGATGTGCCTATATGGTCATTTTTGTTAAGCAATACTAATAGGCTATTTTGCTGTGACATCTGAATTGGGCACCAGTAACTTGTGGTCTGTTGCTTGCCAGAAATGAGATAGATGCTATATAGTTCACAAGGGGGTAAGTTTTCATTTGCTGTGCTTCTGTCTGAAGTGGAACAAGTTGTGGTATCTCTGTGAGAGGAGTTTTTTTGAGTTCCTGGGGCATGGTGTGTCCTCCCTGTTAAATCTACTTCTCATTTTCACAGCAGCTTTGCAGTCAACCCTGAATATTTTCTTTGCATATATTGGTGAAGGAAGCCTTCAAGTGCTGTGTAGAGATGATCAGTACCAAAGTGAGAAGTCTGTAGCTTCTTCCATTGCATAGGTTCTTGCCACTGTGACAAATTCATTCATTTTGCTGGCAGTACAGGCAGAACAGCCAGAACAGAGACCTAAAGGATATGGGCTAAATATTTTTCAGCTCTTAGCAGTAAAAGCATCAACTGCATGATTTCAAAGGCCTGTTGTCAGTCTTACATGCATAGCGTTTGTTTTTCTCTCTTAATGCTAGTACTGAATCACACCAATTACATTATTACAGTACACTGTGTAAAACATGCTGCCGTTCTGTATAGATGGGTTGCAGTGAATCTGGCAATTATGTCTATTATGGAAAGACACAAGTTAAACATTCGAATGCCCATGAATTAGGGGGCAGGCAGCAGGCACTCATTAAAGATTTTAATTGCTTTCGTTTTCTTCTTTGGAAGAAAGCAGGGGATAGCCCTGTTTCAAAGTGAGCAATTAAAGGATACTTCATAGCTAATTGCTGTGAGAAGGGGCTGCTACATGGAATATGCTCTATTGTAATTCATATGATTGTTTGACGTTTTATTAAGAAGCACATCTTTGTACTGTGGTAAAATTTAATATTCTGCAGCGTAACTGCGTGCGTAATAACTGCTGAAGTAATGGCTGTTTGGATTTGCTGTGGCTCTTTTCCTTTCTTTGTGAAGTAAACATGCCATAAATAAGGGTCGTTGATGTACAGCAAATGCTCCGTGGATAGGTGGCTTATCTAGTTTGCAGGTAAGAATACTGTCTATGTGGATAGGAAGGTACAAGCTGTCTGTAGCTCTCCTGGGTTGTTAGTTACATTGCAGATGCCCAGAAAGGCAGATCTGTTCCCTGCTCTCAGAGCCAGCATAGGTCTGAAAGTCCCACATGGTGGTATTGCTGCTGTTTGGAGCCAGGCCTGAAAAGCCCTGATGAACCCCAGCTGATTCTGTGCCCTGTTGGGTTGAACACCTAAGCCGGGCATCTGGCATGGTGCAGAGACATACAGGGGCTAAATGCTCAGGGGTACCAGCCTGGGCTGGAACCTTTTGGGGGGGTGTGGCCTGCAGATGGGCTGTGTCACTGGCCTGTGGAAAGGGAGGGCTGAAGATGCTCGCTGTCCTGTGTCAGGGCTGACTATGAAATGTGTCCAGTCTCCCCAAATAGGACTGATGTAATGTCAGAGCCATTACATGTACAGCTAACTGTGCCCAGTGTATCCCAAAATATACAAACGCGATGTGTCTCTGGGTTGCTTGATTACCTAGGAGTACCTCAAATAAAGGGGCATGTATATTTTTGCTCTGTATGAGGCAAGTTACCCTAACTCCAGTGGTGAAACTTAGGTTGGTAACATTAGTGACCTTCTGCATCCCTGAAAACAGTCTTGAAAAGAGGTTCTTTTGATGGTGTGACTCATCATCTCTCTCCATCCTGCTTTTGTGCTGTGAGGCATGTCTGTGTGACAATGGGAACAGCTTAAAGTGAATAGTCATGCTGGGGGTGTTAAAAATGTATTTGTAGCTGTGTTTTACTGCTGCTTATAGTGGAGGAGGAAGTAATGTGGTAGGACAAATTGAAATTGCTGCTTATGTTATAGATACACTGCTTGAGACCAGTGTTCTACAAATAACCTTTTATCCATTTGTATTCAGGAACATTAGTGTCTGAAACAACAGAAACAAAGGTATTGAAAAAATGTTGGTGTAAATAGCTTAGAATTTTTGCATTCTTAAATGAAAAATGAAACATCTCTGTACATTTCACTAAGTAAAATTCCCCATCCAGCAGAATTGGTGTATGCTGTGTTGCAGTAACTCTACAAATCCTCTGCACCATCAACTGTTGGGATTTCTCACTGATAAAACTAACATTTACAAAAACATAAAACATAGGTAAAGACAAAAAAACCTCCCTTCTAATAGTTGTCTGGGTTGCAGCATACTTCCTTCTGTGTGAGGCAGGCCACAGAAACATGCCAGTTTCCCTGAGTGGGTTTCAGGAAATAGAGATTCATGTTCCCTTCTCTGCCCTCCTGTATGTAACACTGCAGTAGTAGTAAATGATACCTTGAGCTTTGGCTTGGTATTTATGTTACTGTGTTAGACACTCTCCATATTCTTGCTACCATTCAGTTAGTTTCTTAGGAAGTTTGCACCTTTGGGTTTCTCTTCTTGATTTTTTTTTTTTCTTTTTTTGAGCAGCTGGAATAAGCAATTGTAAATAGAGTCAGCATTAAGAAAATTGTTGGGATAGAAGTAATGATGAATTTGCCAGTGGCAACTTCTATGCATGCAAGCATAGAGAGTGATAGTTTGCAGAGATGACCTATGGCTTTGAGATTTGAAAGCTTGAACAAAATCATCAGGTTTATGACCTTCATGGAAAGAATATTCATCATGCCTATGCATATGTTGTTTTTAACTGCTGGCTGCTTGGGTGAAGTACAGTATGTACACTATGTTCAGTATTACTGCAATTTTAGAATGTTGCATCCTTGTAATATGTCCTCTATTCCTTCTTCTGCAGGATTGAGGTGCATTCTTCCCTCTAGTACCAGCATCTGTGGCAGAACTTAATTTGTAGTCATTGTTTCCGAATAATTTTCTGTCTGCGCTAATGTAGCCACTTGAAAATCATAGCTTGGTACTATATGGATACCAAAAAAAGCATCTGGCTATAGCTGACTCTAATAGGAGGTTGATGATGAGCATGGTGGTGCTATCTCAGTTGCTGTTTTCTACAAACAATTGTCAGAAAAATGTAACAAGTGGAGAAAAAATTGTTAGTGCTGTTGTATCTACGTAGGAGGATTCACTTGGCAATGAGGATCCTTTGGTATATGCCTTTAACTCCTTTTTTCCTTTTAAAGTAACAGTCTTGTGTTAAATCCAAACAGAGCTTAAACATCTATTTTTTTTTATTCTTATTTATTTCTTGTAACAAAGGTAGACAAGCTGTACTCCTGTACTGTGGCAGCAGGATTATCTCTTTGAAGTTGGTTTCACCCTCTCATGCAACCTATTGCTCTGAACTATTTTTTTAATCACAAATTATGTCTTTTGCAGTAGCATGCAAAAGAAAAATACTGTTGTGGCTGCAGGAGTTGCTGTAAGTTTATTTGTGCAAACAGTAGAGAGTCTGATCTGTCATCTTGCCTTTAACTGCGGTCACCATTTAGCTCTTGGTTGTGATTGTGTTAGTTGTCAGTAATTGTGTTTGCAGTCTCGGCTGGAGGCTGTGATGAAGAGTGCTTGGAACTGGGGCATTACACAGATAAAATCATGATGAAACAGCTGCAGCTTAATCATAATGAAGTATGCGTGGGTTTTAAGGGCTGCATATTCTGGAAATTTTTATTACACTTAATTCCCATGTTTAACCTTTTTAGGAAAAAAAAGTCTCCCTACAATTAGAAAGAAACAGATGTAAGATTACAGTAGTAAGTATTATAAAATAAATCTCATAGCCTTTCTGTTTCAGGGAGGGAACATTTTGTTTGTCTTTGCCTGAGGTGAAACTGCTGGCAATGTTCTTAATTTTTCCGATCTTTTAGATGTCTAGACCTGAGTGTCTGATGTTGCACCCCTTTCAGCTGAGGAGCCCAGGGCACTGTATCTGTGCTATCAGTAGGTGCTAAGGCTCGGTGGCATCTAGCACTGCCTCTCTCAGAGGCTGGGCAGTCTGGCTGAGGTCCTCTGCATTTGGAAATTAGAGGGGCATTTCAGTTTACTCTGGGATTGTAATCTTTCCCTTTGTGTTCAGAAAAGCACAAAGGGCTGGGATCTTGAGGTAAATCTGAGTCTGTGGCATGTGGTATTTTGGGACATCCTCACAAATACCTAAACAGATCATTTTCTGTCAAAAGTAGTGTTTCTTCCTGATCTAGGCTAAGTAATGCACTGATAGATTAGCAAAATTAACACATATATTAAAAAAAATAAAAAAATAGTGCATTACCCAAATCTCTAACTGCTTTAAATTGATGACAGACAAATCTGATTACTAAGGCAACCTGCTCAAATTAAAAAATGAAAAGTGAGTAGCAGAAAAGAACAACAGAAACGCATACAATTATGAAGAAATCAAGTGTGGACACAGAAGATAAATTACCAACAATGGAAGCAGTTATTGCAGTTGCAGGCAATTGAAGTAATAAGGAAGATGGTTTAAGTATGGCCTTGAATTTCTAATTATTGAGGAAATAAGGAAGATGTTTTAAGAATGGCCTTGAATTTCTAATTATTGAGGAAATGGGATCTGGTAGGTCTGTTTCATAATGCTCTAATTCTGTGACACAAATCCAGATGAGGTATTCCTAGCAGTTCCTTTCTGTACGTACAGCTATCTTCTTGAGTTTGCTTCATGTGAATATAAAGTACCTCTGTTGAAGCACCTTCCTTATATTGGGATAAGTTTAAAAAAAAAAATCTTGAGATGATATTAAACAAAATGCTATGAGTGATGGGTGTAGCTTGCTATGGAGGAGGCAGTTCTCTTTTTGCTCTTTTGGAGTCTGATGTTTCATTGTGTCTGTGCCTAGGCGAACAGGGACGCGGTGATCAGCCGAGCCCCAGACCAGCAGGATGACCGAGCTGTCAGCCTCCAGGATGCCTCTGCAGTCTACGACCTCCTCAGCATCACACTGGGCAGAAGAGGGCAGTATGTGATGCTGTCTGAGGTACCTCCTCCGCACTCTGCCTCAGCTGCCTCTTGAAACGTGCTGGCAAAGCCCCTCTTTGCAGTGGCTTGATGGGGAACGTGAAAGTGAAGCACACCAGTTGGCAGTTAGTAGAAAAAGCCACAGACCTGTGGTAGCACAGGCCTGAAGTGCACACAGAATTGTTTGAGACACTGACATAAATTTGTGTGGGCACTTGAACAAAGTGGCTGCCATTTGAAGTGACGATGTATGCTAGCAAGTCCCATTAACTGAGAAGAGGAAAATGATGTCTTTAAAAAAAAAACAAACCCCCAAAAAACCACATGGGTCCTGGGCCACAACAGATTGTTTCCTGACCCAAGCAGCAGCCTTGATGAAAGGTATAATGAGAAAAATAAATAAATAAAGTTCTGATATTTCTCCCATCAATTTCTTTCTCAGTGCTTGGAGAGAGCCATGAAGTTTGCGTTTGATGAGTTTCACCTCTGGTACCAGCTTGCCCTGTCCATGGTAGCTTGTGGAAAGGTAAGGTTCAAACCAAAGGACTTAGAAAGGGCACATTTTCCTCTGGTAGAGTGTATCTAGATTACTTGTTTGAATGTGCAGATCCATGTATTTTGTGGGAGTAGAGGCCATCAGGCAGCTATGCTGAAGGACAGTGCTCTCCTTTTAGTCCCTGATTGCACTTTGTGGTCAGGTGCATGCATTTGGTATTGAGTAGTGTTCTTTCCATGTCGTGTTTGTTTCTCATTATCAGGGAGAAAATGAATTTTGTTGCATCCCTGCGGGTTGCAGAGTGTTATACAGCTGTCCATTCTCTGCAGGTTCAACATAAATGTGCTTAGTATAAGAAAAAAATGATGTCTAAAACTCAACTCACTCTGTGTCTTTGGGCAGTTGACTTAACCTGTGGTTTCTCCATATGATCAAGGAAATGTTAATGTTTCGTCCTAGAGAGGTTTAGTATTTTTGAAATACCTGGTGCAAAATATACTCTTGAAAAAGAAACTGGGTGAAATTGGAATGGTCATGTGTTTTAGCGTAAATGTTGTTTTAAAATTAGTATAATTGTCAAAGTTATCAGTAAACCATTGATATGCTACAATCTGGTTGTGAAAGGTAGGCAGTGGCAGCAGGAGGTTTTTTTATTAGTGTTAAAAGAGTGGACTTACTGAGGGAAATGTAGATGGTACAAAATGTAACCTGTTCTTTCTGGAGTCCCCACCTACACTTTTGGAAGGTATGAGCAAATTGATGCTATGCCCTGGTAGACCACTTAATATGGTCATATATTCTGTGCCCATGGAGTGTACAGGAATCCATGGAGACCACCAATTAGCAGTCATCTGGCCAATTGCAGGTACTTTTATGGCTATAAGCTGAGCTGGAAACAGTGGCTTTGGCATGGAAATGGGAGATGAATCAACAGCGGTAGGCTTTTGTGCAGAAATTGTCATCTTGTGGTGTATAAGTGGCTGCAAAGCTTGGAAGATATCTGAAGGGATTCCTTGACTTCTGTGAGCGTAGACAAGGCCTTATCTTGGAAAACTGTGAGTTGTTAAGCATTATACTTCAAGAAAATGACAAGAGAAAGTCTAATAAAGAGCATCAAATATGGCTAAGGGTACAGTAAGCAGGACTGTGGAGAGACTGAAATGATTAAGAGAAACAAGTCTTCAAGAGCTCTTAGAAGGAGGTGTTAATCTTGTCTGTGGTGGTTAGGATAAGATGTGATGGCTTGCAGTTGCAGCAACACAAGTTCATGTGTCCTATAAAGAGGCAAAAAAGGATAGTGGAACATTGGAAAAAGATTGCCCTGTGGAGGTTATGTGGAGCCTGCATCACTGAGCATCTGTGGAACTCCCTGGGCAAACATGTAGTGACACCTCTGTGAGGCACCAGGGATGTACTCGGTGGGACATTTGGTGGATGTACCTCAGTGGGAGTCAACCACTGTTGACTCTGTTGTGGAACTCTACAGTTACCTCTTTTTGTATAGAACAGGTACAGCTGATTTATGAGATACCAAAGCTTTGACAACACATATTAGATCAACAGGGAGCTGAAGGGAGATATTTAGACAGAAAGAACCTTGCAGATTCCTATAGAAGTTCAGTACAAGCATTTCAAAATCCAATTCCAAGTATGAAAACAATGGCTAGACTCAGTCATGTATAAGGAAACCTGAAGCTACTGATGGAATTCTTAAACAATGAGCTTGGTGACATGGTGCTAATACCTTGCACTGGCCTATGTCAGGTGGGGGGTTTACAAGTCATGTCCAGCTCTCCTTGGCATTCAGCTGGAGTTAGCACAGTCCTGCCCTCTGTGTCTTTACAAATCCTCCAGATACCTGATCTCTTGATATTGAGGACAATAATGGTTACATAGGCTATGATGGAAAGACACAGTATCTTCCCATAAACACAGGGCTTGTGTGGGAGCTTTATCTGCTTTTTACAAGTTGTGTGACCTGTTTATCAACAGCAGATAATGCTGTAGCTCTAATAATGTGCTGGAAAGCAAATCTAGATTTTTAACTACCGGTGGTTGAGAGTGAGTGTATCCAGAGAATAATTGTGGTTCAGTCGTAGGTTAGTGCGGTCATGAGAAATGCAGCCTCATCTTTACCTTCTAATAACTTGCATGGCAATTCTGTCCTTGTCCCTATATATTTGCATACCTCTTCACCTTCCCTAGAAATTACTGCATATTTGGTACTTTAAAAAAAAAAAAAAATAACACAAGTATCCATCTCTATAACTTCCCTATCTTTTCAGATTTTCAAGTATGTCATGTCTTTTTGCCTTATACTTGAAATATTTACAAGGTAAAATGTCCTAATCTTGCCTATTGATGTAAAAGCTCTAAATGTTCTGAGCCCTATATAGGTCAGAGGGAATTCCCTTACCCAGCAGTCCCATCTGTGCAGTATTTCACTTCTAATCCCAAAGTATTCCCTGAGGATTCCTGTCGTATACTCTGCAATGCGTCATCTTGCTAATGGGAAATGTGGCATACATTTTTATGTTGCTTTGGAGCTTGATAGCAGGACAGAGTTCATTTAAAAGTAAGTGCTCTAGTGTTGCAGAAAGAACTGATGAGAAAAGTGTGGTCTGTCTAGACTGCAGAATGCAGAGTACACTTGAGCTTTTATAGGTAAAGATCTGTTTTCACCTGTCTCAGTCACAGCCAATTCCTGATCTCATTTCTTGGTAATGAAATCTCACATCCTGCAGCATTACTCGTTCTGCAGTACAGCAAATCATGCTCATAAATCCTGGGCACAACAGGAACAGTTCTATCAAGCTGTAAATGCTGTAAACTTCGGGTTATCTTTTTTTTTTTTTTTTTTAACATGATTTTAAGATTTTCAAACTTTGACCTTCTTGAAAGTGCTGTAAAATCCTATCTTGCCCTCTATGCTACACTGAATTTGACTAGTGTTACTTTTATTTTGTTTATTCACCTTCAGATTAAGTCAATCAAGTCGAATTTCAGAGTAGTTTATTCCTCTGCCAGCCAAAAAATTGCCAAATGGTGATTGTCGTTTTTCACAAGTATCAGTCTGAATGTCAAGCCAGCCACCTAGGCTCATTACTGCATGTAGGCTTGAGTTTACACATTATTCTGAAAAGCATGTGTCTTAACAAAAATAAGCACATCACTTCAGTAAGTTCCTACAGGCCTTGGGGCTTCCTAAAACGGTGAATGAAAAAACTCAAGAGAAGCATAACCTTCCTGTCTGTCTTTTATGCATTTAAGTGGTGGAAATAATGGAGTAACAGCAATTTCACTTGCCTGTGTTTCTCAACAACTTGCATAATGATGATAAGATTGTGTAGTCTGGTTGTTTTTTAACCCGTTCTTAGAAACGCCTGTTATACTGAGCTGTATGTTCTCTGAAGAAAGAAGGCATGTATACTTAAATTACTAAAATCCACCATTGCATTTGGAATTTTAGATGAAATGCTGGGAAAGCCTAGACAATGGCAAAGACATGGTGAGAGTTGTCCTGTGTCACTAAGTGCAGTTCTGGATAGGCAAAAGAGGTTTAAATTAGTCTAATGCAGTACCCTTGTTCTTGTGGTGCTGGAAAACTGAATGCTGAGTTCTTCACAGATGCTTTAAGTTGCTTCTGCTGGTAATAACTTTGGCAATGTGGTAATACAACAGCTAGAGGCTGAGTGGGCATAGCAGCTCCCTGGCTCTGCTGCCGTGCACGGACAGACTGGAGCCTGATTGGCGAGTGGTATGATAGCCGGATGCCATCTGGCAGAGTCCTCAGGCAGTGAGATGAGCCACTGTCCCGCTGCCAGACTAAAATGAGTGCAGACAGTTGCATCTGTTTGTCTCAAGATTTTGAAAAAGTGACCAGTATTTAGCAGCATGGGGAAAGGAAGGACCAAACTATAATTTACAGAGTAGTCTTCGTAGTCTTCACAGTGGTGAAGAGAGAGAGAGCTGCTTGGGGCAGACTTGTTCTCTGCTGCTGCTTTCCAGCTAAACAGCTTCCACGGGAGGTCGTGCAGGTAACCAGCACATAGCTCTCCTGCAGACTAGGGTAGTTCTAGCAACATTTCTGAAGTTGGAGGCAAAGTTGTCATAGTGTCTAGATGATGTATTGCAAGCACAAGGGATGTGAAATAGGGTCCTTGTGCACTCGCAAGCATTTCCTTGGCCTCAAACCAGTTGGATCAGTTACATACTTGTTCCTTGTTCAGATTTCTGTCCCCTTCCACACCTAATACCCTCACATGGGACCTAGCCTTGGTGTTCCAAAGTGTCACTGGAGCTCTCTGGGTGTAGAGACTCAGGAGAGCATCGAGAGTGGGCTCTAGGTTAAATTTACGGTATTTAGGAAAGTCTTCTAGATCTACATTGTGAGTGTCTTTTTTACCTGTCACACTACTTAAGGGACAGATAAACTGTGAAAATACGTGCCTTGAACAACATGAGGCAACACTGATGCCTCTCTTCTATCTACCCAAGGAGACAAGATTTGTATTTAGTGACAATGATTTGCTGTTTTCCTAAGGGTAGTGAGGGAGGGATTCTTCAAGGATAGCTGTGAAATTATTCTGTGAACAATGAGTGTACTTTGTCTAAAAGTGCTGAGTGCCCTAACTGAGCCATTCAACTGTCATGAGTCTTAATCTCTCATGTCCAGTGAATGTTTATTGTTGGTAGTGTATGGAGTGCATCGGAACGTTTTCAAAGTTATGTTTAATGTTTCTGCCCAAAAAAACCCCACAACTTGGTTAGTGAATTAAGAGCTTTAGGATGTGTGGTTTTTGAGAGGAGGGATGGAGAACAATATACCCTTAGGCCAGCTGAAGGAAGCCTGGAGCATCTGCTGGGAGAGGATAATCTGCTTTTACCCCTCGTACTGTGTACTCATTGAGGGGATGAAGTGCATCAAAAAGTGACTAAAGAAGAGCTCAGGAACAATTAAGGGATCTGTGGGGAAAAGCCTCTGTGAGAGCTCAGTGGAGCTGGAAGCAAGTACCTGGAGGCAAGGGCTG